TATGAAGGACCTCACGTGGTCATGGAGACACCGGGTGGTGTCACAGTACCTCACTCTCTGCTAGGTGGTGTTGTGTTGTTTCGTAGTCAGGTGTAAAGCCGGCCCACTGTTGTTCCCAAGGCGGTGATTAACACCTCCTCATCAGAAGATAGTGGTTGGTTCCCAGGGGTGCTTATCTCACTGGTGGGTTGCGGCTCTCGCTGGTACTGTCTAGTGCCGAATTCACTAGCTTAACACTGTTCATCACTGATCCCACTTCTTTCCGAAACGAAATTGTCACTTTTGATTATGTTGATATCCCAGTGGTGAGGATGAGTAGGGGAGAGGGACTTGAAGAATGGCCGAACATAGCCGAGGGGGGCCGCTGCGCAACAGGAGCAGCGCCTGATAGGTCAAAGATGTAGAGTGTGTGTGTGTGCTACACTAAATAGGGATGGCTGCCAAATAAGCGTCGTTTACTATCATAACAAATAATGCTACAGCAGTCAGGTCAAGTCAGATTACAATACGTTTCGTTACGTTAGGTTATTGGAAGAAACTATTACTTTATATGTATTTGTATGATATACATGATCGTTTATTGTCAGTCAGAAGTTAAAGAAAACAATAAATACACAGAAGTTATCGGTAATAGGCAATTATTCCTATTTAGTGTTACAGTCATAATAATTATTAAAAGATGTTAAGTAACAACAGGTAACTGGGAATATGTCGACCTATATACAGTTAGATACAATACAAGAGCTTATATTAAACACTGCCCTGGTCCCATACAGAGCCTCCAACACCCAGTACACCTCCTCGGGTGGCAGGTACACCGACCCAGCGTCCGGATACACCCAGGAGGAGACCTACAACTTCCACAGGAACATTGAGGAGGCGGCCAGCAAGTACCAGTGAGACGGAGGAGCCACCGACCCGTACTGTAGGACGAGGCTAACCTTAGCATGGTGGTGAGAACGAGTAAGGAGTCCTGCCTTCAGCCACTACACAGATGACAATATGACACATCATCTCTTGTTTTGTTTTATATTAACTTATTGTGTAACGTGTAAATAAATGAATAGAAAGTTATTTATTATTTCACATCCTTTTGTCTGGTCTAATTATCCCCTCGGTTATTTGTGCCTGTGGTAATGTAGGTGATTATAAAGTAGTTTATATTAGTAATACTTTCAATGTTTTATTTGTCTTTACTTAAGAGCAGAGATACAGGCTGTCTACTGGCCGCACAAAACAAAATTTCCTGACTTCTCCAGGTGTAAATTCTAATAATTCCAGGTACATTAATTCGGTATTTATTACGACACAATAACAAAATTGGAGGTTTTAAATAATATTTATATACTACTGGCAAACTTAAAGATGATATATATGATATTAATCAATAAACTGAAGACCCTTTCGCGACCCACCTAAGTCAATCCGACAATAAAATTATACAGCTACGAATTGAAGTATTAATTAAAGTATGTACCCGTGAAGTACTAAATAAAAAGCTGTCAGACTCCCAATATTGTCTTTAATTTCTTTTCTTTTTTCAATTTATTTACATAAATTCCTCACATTTTGGTAAATACATAACAAATTATCACATAATACACTAGGGACATAAAACAGTACACATCTCTACAAAATTTTCAAAAAATACCTTGACCCCCCCCCCCCCATATTTTTCTCCAAGGATTTGCCTGAGTCACGTTTCAAAAAAGCCGGAAATCCGGCAAAAACCGAAATATCAATCACGCTCCTCATCAGCCTATATGACTCCTGATAAATATGTGGAATAATCCACTTAAATAAAGTCACTTAATTATATGAACAATTCATCTCTAACTATACTCACTGCAGAATTGGTTGGCATAACCTGTAATATTTGGTTATTTGATCAGTAACATGAAATATAACAGAACAATTCAGATATTGGAGTGGACTATTTACTGGAATTTGTTCCAAAAATTTTAATTATTTACCTATAATACAAAACAGCATTAATTTATAGTAAAGCTGCTGTTAAAAATAACAATATTTTGAAGTTGAACTGAATTAACATAAAATTCCAGGTTTATTTGTAAAATTCTCTGGCTCTTACAGACCAGTAAGCACCCTGAGATAAGAGTTGTACTGGCTCTTACAGACCAGTAGGCACCCTGAGATAAGAGTTGTACTGGCTCTTACAGACCAGTAGGCACCCTGAGATAAGAGTTGTACTGGCTCTTCCAGACCAGTAGGCACCCTGAGATAAGAGTTGTACTGGCTACTTACAGGAAGTAGGCACCCTGAGATAAGAGTTGTACTGGCTCTTACAGACCAGTAGGCACCCTGAGATAAGAGTTGTACTGGCTCTTACAGACCAGTAGGCACCCTGAGATAAGAGTTGTACTGGCCTGTCTTAGAGGAACAGACCCGAGTCACTATCACCACTATTGTCTTTCCTCTCATCACCAGACTGTCAACACCTACAGTCTACTACAGGTTATTAGTCACGCCCACACCTCCTGTCTCAGACCCACATAACTGTCTGGTCCCGTGGCTAACCTAACATAACCTACGCTAACCTAACATAACTTAACCTAAGCTAAGCTAACCTAAGCTAAGCTAAGCTAACCTAAGCCTGAGCTAACCAAATTTAACCTAACCTAGCTAATTAACTTTATTATGAAGTATAGTTGTATAAGCAGTGTGGTTGTTGGTACAGCAAGAGATGAAATAAACTTGTAAGAAATTAAAGTAATAATATTAGTGATAAATAAACACCAATAATAATATTTGTTTGTTTCAGGTTTACAAGATTTATCTCTCTCTCTCTCTCTCTCTCTCTCTCTCTCTCTCTCTCTCTCTCTCTCTCTCTCTCTCTCTCTCTCTCTCTCTCTCATCCTTCCCTCCCCTGCTTCTCTCTCTCTCTCCTGCTTCTCTCTCTCTCTCATCCTTCCCTCCCTGCTTCTCTCTCCCTCTCTCCATCCTTCCCTCCCTGCTTCTCTCCCTCTCTCCATCCTTCCCCCCTGCTTCTCTCTCTTATTAGTCCTTCCTGGCCCAGTCTTCCTACTTGTTGATGATGATAACAATTATATAACTTCATCTTATTTGTTCCCTCAACCATGAAACCTCGTGTGTGTGTGTGTGTGTGTGTGTGTGTGTGTGTGTGTGTGTGGTTACATTCCCTTACACACAGGAACACCTACAGTTTTAGCTCAGTACAGTAATGGTGTTAAAATAATGAGGACAATTAGTTCACGTCTGAGTGATGGTCAAGTTTTAGTCAAGAAAAAGTTTCTAAAGAATGTTGTACTGCCTGAAGTGGTGATGTCCTGGTACTAGTGTTGTCCTGGTACTAGTGTGATGTCCTGGTACTAGTGTGATGTCCTGGTACTAATGTGATGCCCTGGTACTAGTGTGATGTCCTGGTACTAGTGTGATGTCCTGGTACTAGTGTGATGTCCTGGTACTAATGTGATGCCCTGGTACTAGTGTGATGTCCTGGTGCTAGTGAGATGTCCTGTTACTAGTGTGATGTCCTGGTACTAGAGTGTTGTCCTGGTACTAATGTGATGCCCTGGTACTAGTGTGATGTCCTGGTACCAGCATGACGGCAGCACATGTTCACTGGGAGGTGTGACCCCCTCACCTGGCTGGACAGGTCACAGACACTATTACCATAACGGTGTAGCACAAAGTTTCCGTTCCACATTACCGAAAATTAGTCTTACTTAAAACAAGTTTCCTATATAATTATACAACCATATCTAATTCATTTTATCGATGTATTTTGGCATATCTGATCAATAATTAATCTCAGGAATTAAATAACGATACTTTATTAATGACTTGGGTTTTGTGAATTCAGTAGTTATGATGTAATAGAGCAATAGTAACGAGTATATTAGCCAGGTGTAATTAAGGAGGGCGTCGGCACAGTGTTTATAAGAGTGGGTGTTGAGAGGCGAGGCAGCAGTTTGGTGGCACCAGTCGAGGAGGATCTCAAGAGGCCGCATCACCACGCTACAGTACCGGCTTACCGTAACACCAAGCAACGTTACCACAAGATATCTGACTCTGTGTTAAGCAGAACCACACGGCTGCACACACTCCAGGACGCCAAACAACGTGACTAAAATATACTTGTATATGGTAGCACGAGAACCGGACAGCACGGGACAACTTTACCTGCAGGAACATCAAACAACTTAAAGACTCTTCATAACACAGAGCTATGGAGGGAAGAGGTTAGAGAAGGTGGTGGTGATGGCTGTTCCTTCTCTCACGTACAACTTAACTCCTCCACAACTGTTCCTCCTCTCATGTGAAACTTAACTCCTACACAACTGTTCCTTCCCTCATGCGAAACTTAACTCCTACACAACAATTGTTCCTTCCCTTATATCAGTCACGTCACCGCACAGTCTCACTAAATATACATTTTATATAAACGGATATGTTTTAGGTTCATGATGTCAAGCAGCATCTTTATATATAAATCAATCATATATATGACAGAAACAGATGCCTGATATCGCTAGTGTTCAGGGATTTTTGTTCCATAACTGTACACTCTTGTTATTTCACACGTCTTGAACACACAGATACAAGTCCACACACTGACATCATAATAACAACACTCCACAAATAATGTCCTAACCTAACCTAGCGTAATATAACACCACCTGTATAGACATTAATTAACTCTCACTGTACTTGTGGTGTTCTCAGGTGTAGTAGTGGTGGCGGCGGTGGTGGTGATGGTGGTGTGTGTGGTAACGACTCAGGCCTCCCAGGACACGCTACTGCAGGAGGTGCTGAAGGACTCCCAAGAGCTCCACCAACCCATCAAGGACCTCATCGAACAGCTGACAGAGGAAGGCAAGGATTGGTTCAGAAAGACAGGCCAAGAACAACAGGAAACGGAAAGGACATCGAATAAACAGGATGAGGAGGGAACAAGGAACAAACAGGAGGGCGGAACAAGGAACAAGTTGGACCAGGAGAGTACAAGGAAACAAGAGGGTGTGAACAGTAAACAACAGAGGAACAATGAATCCATAGAAAACAGAGAGAAGCAAAACAAAGAAAACCAGGTGACGGAACAGCAACAAAAGCAACAAAAGCAACAACAACAAGGTAACAACAACAAAAGAACAGGCCGGGAGGTGCAGGACGCCGCAGGAGGCACAGAGGAGGCAGGTCGACTGTTTCTGACGGGTCTAGACGGGACAGAACAGGTGACTATCAACCTGCAGGGTCTGTTGGCCTCCTTAGTGTACACTGTGTTGGGTGTTCTGCTCTTCAAGGTGTTGGCCGCCATCATCACAGGCCAGAACCTATCTTACTGGTGGAACAACTGGGCCAGCCGCCTCCTGCCCACACAGTAAGTCATCCACGGGTGCTTGTATCAGTACTAAACTTAATCTCAGTGTGGAGAGTCAACCTAACCATATATCACCAAACTTATCTACCTAACTTGACCTGACCCCCTCCCCTTAAACAGTGCTTCACCAGGCAAGTGCTTCATATATTCTTTACAAGTGCATTTTATGTTATAAGTGCTTCTCCTATCCTGTATACCTGCTTCAGCGAGCCTGCAACACGACCCCACAATGACCAACCCTTAAGTGGCGTTTTAATAAGCACTTCAATGAGTTGCAATAAATGTTTCACAAGGATTCCATAATTTGTCCATAAAGGTCATATAAATGTTACGAACACACACATGTTCAAACTATCACTGACACACACACACACATGTTCAAACTGTCACTGTCACATACTTGCAAATGATAACAGATAACCTGGATGCTGGAATAAATACACAGTAATAATTTGAGGGTGAGAAGCACTGTTATTATTATTATTATTATTATTATTACAGAGACTACTCGTCCGGCTACTACACAGACCAAAGTACCTACACTGCCTACAGAGCTTTGGATGACGTGGCCAAGAAATACCGGGAGGAATGATCTTCTCCACGCTGGCTGGCTCCTGTCTGACTCATAGATGGCTGAATACTGACTCATACATGGCTGAATACTGACTCACACATGGCTGAATACTGACTCACACATGGCTGAATACTGACTCATACATGGCTGAATACTGACTCATGCATGGCTGAATACTGACTCATGCATGGCTGAATACTGACTCATGCATGGCTGAATACTGACTCATACATGGCTGAATACTGACTCATACATGGCTACCTGCATGTAAATCCTACCTGGCAGAAATGAGAGGTGTTCATTGTCTCCTCTGGGTGTATGAGTTAAACATGGTGGAAAATAATTACCCGTGTTATTAATGACTATGATTGTGCTAAATTGCTGACACTATAGACATTGCTGACAATATCGACATGGCTGACGCTGCACACATTGCTGACGCTGCTAACATTGCTTACACTATAGACATTGCTGAACTATCGACATTGCTGACGCTGCTAACATTGCTGACACTATAGACATTGCTGACAGTGTTGACGCTAGACATTTCTGACACTAACCACATTGCTGACATTAACGACATTGCTGACACTACTGATGTTGCTGACACTTCTAATATTACTGATAAGGCTGACACTACTGACATTATTAACACTACTCAACAGTGTTATACAGTCGCCCTCCTGAACCACGAACCCCTAGAGAGAGACTCGTGAACCCGGAGCAGTAGACTGAAGCATTATGTGTGTTGATGTATTAACTTGATGTGGCGGGTTAACTGAACCTTAACCAAACTTGACTACTGGTTTAATATTTTTGTTGAGTGTATAGAAGCAATGTTTTCCATACACTGTTGTAAATAAAATGATAAATATATTTAGTTTTACACATTAACCAAACCTTAATACCTGTATGTTTATTTGTCTAAATATTTTACAAAACGTGAAATGATTTTATCCAGGTAAGTCTTGTGGTGTATTTTCATATAAATCCGTAATGCAGATTATTGTGTGAGCCTCTCCCAGTCACACCACAATCTGGTCCAGCACTGGCTGCATTAATGTACCCAACCTACAGTACTTAAGCTTGAATTTGGCTGTCTTATGATGGTACAAGACTTCTTAACTTATTAATTTATGGCTACTGGAACTTTCTGACTATTAAAACATTCACTTTCAAATCCCTCAAACTATCAGAACTTTCAGATTGCCGAAAGTTTCTGGTGGAACCTTTAATCTACTAAATTATTCAAGTTGCTGCAGCTATCGGACTCCCGGAACCGTAGATCTCCAAAATATCCAGACTTTTAACTTTAAGACTAGATCTTTTCGGACTTTTGGAACTTTCACTGTCGAATCTTTCAAACCAATAAGAAAATTCTGACCAGCGGAACTGTTAGGCTGTCGATAATCTCAGACTGGCGGAAGTGTGAGCCAACAGGTGAAGGTGTTAAACCCAATATGTAATAATTATTTTCCCTAACCCTGTTATTACCCGCCACACCTCTGAGTCAAACGATCATCTTAACCGAGTATCATTAAGAGTTACTGCAGACCCCGGCACGCCAGGAGGCTCAGCTCTCACCAACAACAACGATATTATAGTATTGCATCCCAAGACACTGAGTTATAACATTGTGTCGTGTGATAAAGGCGTCTCACTCACCACCTGTGTCACCTGTTTTTATGTAATGTAGTTATGGCTCTTGTGAGAGTTGATTATTTATGTGTGGTGATTGACGCTTAAAAACACACGCGCAAGTAAATATACTGTATACAGTGCATACATATATACAGACGCAATTACAAACTTGTACACATCTACACGGGCAAGAACAAGCACAGAAAGGTAAATAAACATACAACTAAAATACGGCCAAACTCGCCACCTAGCGACCATGTTGTATACTGTTGTGATACTGTTCCGTTATCCTCTTACTCCCCCCCCCCCACACACATCCTCTAAGTCTAAGATGTAGGTCATGGGTGGGGTGGGGTGGGGTGGAATGGGGAACAAACGTCATGCGTCCCTTTTCCCTGAGGCTCCCTTCCCCAGGGGGCCGCCTACCACACCACCACATTCTTACGACGAACGTGCCTCGGCAATCCCTCACCTTCTGTTACACTACCAACACCCCTCACGCCCCGTCACCGCTCACACTCAAAATTTCTCCCACGTCTCCATTTCTATAATAAGACTGGTCTCCTATGGTTTCCTGTGGTCTCCTGGTCCTGTGAAGCTGGAGGAACATAGGAGACTGTAGGCCAAGGATGTAGTGTAGTGTTGTTGTTGACGGAGGAGAGACAGTACAGTCATTTCACCATATTAGGCCGTCACCTCCCGACACAGTTCTAACACCACTGTATATATATTTTTGCTCCTCTTTTTCTGGACCGAGACACTATAGTACACTCATCTGTCTCGACTTATATAGTGTTAGTGTACACCAGAAGGCTCATGTATTCAGGTTAATTAAGATTTTCTCTCTTCATTTATCACACTTCATCGTAATAACTGTCTACCTCTTGATTTTAATTATGATGTTTCTTATAATTCATCTTTAAGGTCAGAACACAATCATGACGCTGAGGCCATCATGACGCTGAGGCCATCATGACACTGAGGCCATCATGACGCTGAGGCCATGACGCTGAGGCCATCATGACGCTGAGGCCATCATGACGCTGAGGTCATCATGACGCTGAGGCCGCTGAGGCCATCATGACGCTGAGGCCACCATGACGCTGAGACCATGACGCTGAGGCCATCATGACGCTGAGGCCATGACGCTGAGGCCATCATGACGCTCACCACATTATGTCATCATATATAGATCCATCTCCAGTAATTTTAACTCTCCCTCATCATCTATAACTCTCCAGTGCTCCCTAGACCTTCCCAGCTGCAGAGCGACACTTTACCGCCGCTCTCTCTGTTCTATACCGCCCCCTCTCTTCCTGCCCCCCCAGGTGGCGGTGCTGTGAATGGTCTCTTTCCCCGTTTACCCCGCAGTCACCATGCTTGTCTACCTGCTTATTCCTTTCTTGTTAATTGTCTGGTTAGGGAAAGTACAGTGGTTCGTGGTTTGGCTAGCGGTGCGGGGAAGACCTACCAGGATATGTAGAAAGTGGAGGAGGAGGGAGAAGTGGATCTAAGTGGAAGCTTACAGAAAATGACATTGGTGGGCAAAAGAGAGAGAGAGAGAGAGAGAGAGAGAGAGAGAGAGAACAGTTGTGGAGAACTAGAATGGTTGTGTTGTCAGTGGTGGCAGGAATGATGCTGAGTAAAGTAAATGGTGGTAACACCTGTTGTCAGTGGTGGCAGTAATGTTACAGGTGATAACAGAAAGGTTAAAAATCAAATTATTAATTAAGAAAAGAATAAGTAATAAAAAAAAGCATCTAAGACAAGGAGGAATAATAAGGAAATGTTGATAACGAGGCTATTCAGAACTTGTTGGTAACATGGAAAGGTGTCAGAAGTGTTGGCAGCGGTGGGTGTGTACGGCTTCCCCCACATTAGTCACACGTACACATGGAATACTAACAAGGCAAAACAATACAGATTTCTCCTGTTCATAACTTCTATTGTACCGTTCTTACCAGATGAGATCAACCACACGTGTATAACTTTTAACCCTTTGAGGACGATGACTTAACCCTCTGAAGACGATACTTTAACCCTTTGAAGACGATGAGTTAACCCTCCGGGATTCAAAGGGATAAGCCAAGTTGTACAGAGAGGAAAACAAGTGAAGTACTAAGGCTGACTAAACTATCATTAAAACAATGAAAAATAATCCCTCGAAATTTATACAATAAGGAGAATAAGATACTGTACTACTGTATTTAATTAAGTATGAAGTGTTGGTATAGACGCCTGGAGGAAGGAATGCTCCAGGTTCCGGGTCTCTACGTAGACATGGAATCCTCGACGATTTATATTAGAGTGACAGTTAAAATACGTTTGGAGTGGAGGGACAAGGTAACCAACCCTAAGTAGTCGTGAAGATGGCAGCTTGATCGTCGGTTGTGTAAACGACCCTCGACCTGACGGTATCCAGCATCTAATGCTCAACAATGCTCACCTCAAATAGTTCGCCCTCGCCACTATACTTTACACTTGGTAGAAGGAAGTGGGCAAGTGGATACAGCACTTGCCTTCAGTCCTAAAAAACGCTTACTTGATCTTAGGGCACTCTCAGTTCACCCAGCTGTAAATGGGTACTTAACTTACATTTGTGTAAGTGAAAGAGGTCGAATGCAGTACCGGCCATGCTGCCTCCTTGTGATCCTAACAGGCAGTGAGTGATGCCTATGGGACCCACTGTTACGCTTATCATAAACTTCCCTCTTGTTGATTATTACCCAAAGTGATCCAGCCTCTCCCTCCACTCATCGACCCAGACACCTTTACTAACGCAGCATCCTCTCTTGCACCTAAAATGGTTCCCGTTTCAAGACACACACACACACGCAGAGAGTGAAAAAAAAGAGAAAGATTAATACCGGATGTGTTCGCCCCCTCCCCCTCCCTCTCCCCCAAACAGATAAAACAAGTGGGTGAGTAGAACGCTTGAAGGCAACTCATACATTAATGCCTCCACCTCCCTCCCTCATCATACCACCCGTCCCTCCCCCAGCTACCCTCTCTCTCCTCTGGCTCCTATACCCACATATTTTCACCCTCTTTCTCTGACTGTTTTCTTCCCTCCCCTTGATAGGTCTGCTACCTCTGTCTCTCCCTCTGCTCACATACACAACTCAGACTAAAACCCGGTTACTTTTCACCAGTAGTGAGGAAGTATACATACACCATACATGTAGGTAGTGTAGTGAGGAAGTATACATACACCATACATGTAGGTAGTGTAGTGAGGAAGTATACATACACCATACATGTAGGTAGTGTAGTGAGGTAGAGAGCATGACACAATAACACTTGGTCTCTTCTCTCACCATCCAGTTATCATACAGGAACTGCTACTTTTTGTCTCGTACTTGACTGACGCCTGTGACCTACACTTCAGAGGCGTTCCCATCTTCCTGCCTCTACAAGCATCTACATCCGCACTTAACAAGCTCTCGTTCATTTTGCTTACTTAAACGATGCTTATTTCCTCTTCTAAAAGTTTTCATCTACTCCACAGCCGCCCCCCCTCCTTCACAGTCATACACGCCCCACTTCTTAACGATACAAGGGCTCCTCTGATATAATTATTACTAGTTGTCTTTTGTCTGCACCAAACCGTGGGGTGCAAATACCTGAATGCTAAAACCGATCCCGGAGATGGTAACAGTATTGAATGATGGAGCGAACAAAACTCACATTAGTTACCGACTCTGAGTGACGGGTAGCACCTGGCACTATAATGAGTCCATGCTTCACTGAACAGCTGTAGTGATCCAAGTCCTGATAAAGTCTATCATGGCAAGACTTAAACTGAGTTTGATGGAGAAATCGTCCAGCTGTACAACACCACAGCTGCATCATTAGTAACATCAGCCCCTCTCCAACCACAATTGAAGTATCAGACTCTAGTTAACCTGTGTGTTATCCACATGTTTCCTCCTATCTCTCTATTGAAAGTTTATGTCATTGTGACCCTCCCACCAATATATCCTTATGTAATTTACATTATTTTTGTTCATTGTGTATTTTGAGCAATTGGCTGAAAATTTCTCTCAATAATTCGTTATTATTATTATTATTACTTATTAAACCGGGAAGCAAGTGTACACACCGGACTTTTTTTTTTTACATTGTAAGTGGATGGGGAGGGGGGCCTGCCCTTTCAGTCGAGGGAAGAATTTTATTACCTCAAATTATCTACCCACCAGATAACGCATTTGATATTTATACAGAATTAAAAAAAA